CCCAAGTGTCCCCCAAAGTCCCCAAATGTCCCCAAAGTCCCCATCCACCAAGCACCGAGCGCACAGAGTGGGATCAGATTTGGGGTCTCCCCGGTTTTTGGGGTTTCACCCCCGGTTTATTTTGGGGTGCCGGGTTTTTTGGGGTGCCAGAGGTGGCCGGGGATGGTGAAGGCGTCCCCTCAATGTCCCCAAATATCCCCCAAATGTCCCCAAAAGCCTCCAAATGTCCCCCAAAGTCCCTGAAAGTCCCCAAAAGTCCCCATTCCCCAAGCACCGAGCGCACACCACGGGGCTGCATTTGGGGTCTCCCCGCTTTTTTTGGGGTTTCACCCCCGGTTTATTTTGGGGTGCCGGGGTTTTTGGGGTGCCAGAGGTGCCCGGGGATGGTGAAGGCGTCACCTAAACCCCTTCAGTGTCACCTCAATGTCCCCAAATGTCCTCAAAAGTCCCCAAAAGTCCCCCTTAACCAAACACCGAGCGCACAGAGTGGGATGGGATTTGGGGTCTCCCCACTTTTTGGGGTTTTACCCCCGGTTTATTTTGGGGTGCCGGGGTTTTTGGGGTGCTAGAGGTGCTCGGGGATGGTGAAGGCGTCACCTAAACCTCTTCAGTGTCACCTCAATGTCCCCAAGTGACCCCCAAAGTCCCCAAATGTCCCCAAAATCCCCATTCCCCAAACACCGAGCGCACAGAGTGGGATGGGATTTGGGGTCTCCCCGCTTTCTTTGGGGTTTCACCCCCGGTTTATTTTGGGGTGCCGGGTTTTTTGGGGTGCCAGAGGTGGCCGGGGACGGTGAAGGCGTCCCCTCAATGTCCCCAAATATCCTCCAAATGTCCCCGAAAGCCTCCAATTGTCCCCCAAAGTCCCTGAAAGTCCCCAAAATCCCCATTCCCCAAACACCGAGTGCACAGAGTGGGATGGGATTTGGGGTCTCCCCACTTTTTTTGGGGTTTCACCCCCGGTTTATTTTGGGGTGCCGGGTTTTTTGGGGTGCCAGAGGTGGCCGGGGA